GGGGGGGGGGGTCTGGAGGGGGGGTTGGTCGCTCCCACGCAATGGAAAGTATGAGGAAAATAAAAGAAGAAAGAAACGAAAGAACGTGAAGAAAAACGAGAAAAACCAGAAACCAAAGGAAAAAAGACAAGGGTTCTACTGAGAGAGAGAGAGTTAGTCGGACCTGTCCCCGTCGCCGCTCCCCTCGCCGTCGCTGCTCGCGGAGCTTGGTTGTCGGCCGCTCCTACCACCGACCGTATCCTCCGGCAGTATTTCTTCGCTCCTGTGAACTGTAAAGGAGGACTTCCCCTTCCTCCCGAAACCCAGCCGTCGTTTCCGTCCTTCCTCGCCCACGCATGTACCACCAACAGACGCACGTGGTATGTTATGGATTTTGCGTGAGGTGATATAGTTTTGATGTTGTCGTTGTTGATGTTGATGTTGTTATCGTTGTTATTGTTGTTGTCGTTGTCGTTGTTGTTGCGACAGAGAGAGAGCAACAACGATGGTCGGTGGTGATATGGTGGTGGTTGTGATGGTGGTGGTGGTGGTGGTGGTGGTGGTGGTGGTGGTGGTATTGATGGTGGTGGTAGTGGTGGTGTCAGTTGATTATTTCGAATTGATTTTATAGGCGTATATGTTGTTTTTTTTTTTCGTAAATAATGTGTGGCGAGAGTATCGGTTCGAGTTTGTTTGTTTATATATTTTTTTTGGCGCAACAGTGGCGATAGAGGTCCAGCAAATCGATCGGTGATCCGTGTGGAGTGTGTTCCGCGAACACACGAGCGCGCGGGCGACGATCGCGGCCGCCGCGATGAGAAATCGTGCAGGTGGGTGCAGATCGATGACGTGAATGGTCCCCCAGCGTCGAGAGGTGGTTGGTTGGTAGAAGTAAAGTGTGAGTGTGTTCATGTTGAAGAGAGGCGCGGATAGAGATGAGGAGGGATGGCGGAGAAAACAAGAATACAATTAGAATGTACATACTGCCCCGCTTACTGGGTGTTTTGCTTGTCTACGGTATGCTCTTGTTATCGTTCAGATCGATGAATCTCGTTACCTGTCGATGGCGCCTCGAATCGTCGCACCCGACTCGTGCTCGAAACGACCCGAGACTCGAGGCGAGAAAAGTGGAGAAGAATAAGGTACAACAAATAAGGAATGTGATGAAGATATCGGCGGGAAATGACAACTTACTGAACCGTCCTCGACATTGTTAGTTATTCCGCGAAAGCGAGCACTTCGTGTATCCGCTTTGCAGTCAATCACATTCGAGAATATCGTACTCCACGACGGAAGGTATACAGAAAAATACGCCTCGTCAGTTACGCCTGTTTCTCAGACAATCATCACTTGTGTCAGTTCTTGAACAATGCATACGCAGTCGTACCGTTCATACCGTAGTTCCTTATTCCTTATTCTTATTCTTCAATCAATGTTCTTTTTCTCGGTCGTGAGCTCTGTGAACTCGACTGGAAAACTTGCCTCGAATCATTCGAATTTCGCTTCATCGTTACATCTCGATAGAACACGATATATCGACGATGATATATCTGCGCGACGTCAATACAGACCCGGTCTCAATACGTAGCGAGAGCACACCGTTACAATCTACACACTAACGATGACTAGACTATGCTATCCTAATTTACGAAATATCGTCGTTATGAAGAAGAGAAGACGAATCTTCTTTTGTCTTTTACTAAAGAGAGAATATATAAATGTCAGGAATAGAAAATTGTTTCTAATGCCGCGGTATGAGACGGTATCATACAACAAAATAAGAGAAAAAAAAAAAAAAAAGAATAGAAAACGTCCATCAAACGTTCTCTAACGTCGCGCACCGAAAGAGAAGGGGAGAAAAGAAATCTTGCTTCTGCGCGCGCGAGCGATCGATTCCTTTTACGTGAGAAATCGACTACGTAGAACACGTAGAGGCTAGAAGACGCAAAACTCGATAGAGAAATGGCCAGTGTGACAATGTGTTACCTGTCGCGGACAACTGGCTGGTGCTGTTGCTCTTCTTCCCGAGACCGGCCTGATACTGCACGGCGCTGCCGCTGCTGCTGCCGCTTCCGCTCTTGCTGCCCGGCGAACTCTTGCGACCTCTCCTCGACGGATCGTCCACGTTCAACGCGATCGCTGTATCGCTGAAACTACCCGTGTCTGCGAAACAAGAAGACACGCTTGAACGTACACAATCGGCGAGAGCGCGGCCCGAGAGAACGTTCGAGGCGTTGCCACGCGTCCATACACGTGGCCGTGCGTTTCCAGAGTATCTTTTCTGTCCGGAGTTAGCCTTGAAATTAGCGGGACGTACGAGTCTGCGAAGCAAAGTCTGCGGCAGTCTTTACTCTGATGAATTTCAGAAGACATCGGATGTCGAACAGGAGAAGTTAGCTTCTCAATGATTTTATACATCTTCAGTTTCTAATTTTTTAGTAACTCCATGATAATCCGATAAAGTATCAAAAGAGAAATACATTTTTATATTAAACATTAGATGCATTCTGAAATTCATCAAGGCAAAAATGCTGCAATCTTTCTTTCACTGACCGTACACGGAAAAAGAAGATACGGCGCACATCATCAGAAATATTTGAGCAGCATAGAGTTGCATCACCCTAGCTATCTTTCTGTGATGGTGTACGATTGACATGACTCAGTTACTTTGGCATATCAACCACATCAATGTAGTTGATCAGGTTGTGGCAACCAGAAATCGGTTGGGCCGACATTTATCACGGATAAATGCTCTGATCGAAGCAACCGGATATCGTTGCTGCTGCAACGTCAGTAACTTAGCAACTGCTCTGTGCAGTAATCACACAACTAGTTGTTTCGTGTTTGACTGGAATCTGGAAACTTGGTTGGATGGCGTGCAAATGTATCAATGCTTGATTAATGTAGTGTGTTAGTTTGGAGTGATTGTACTGAATTAAGTATGGGGTGTCACACAGATAGGGGAAATTATGTAGGGATGAGTGCGTAGATAGTGTGTGAAGTGAAGACGAAGGAAGGCGTTAGATAAGAAAACAGGATTCAGGATGGAAAAAGTGCGCAGATAATAGAAGGTAATGCTGGCAAGCTTAAATTGCTAATACAGAGGGAATATATAATAGATGGTAATAGAAGACAGAAGGGATGAAGGGAAGGAGATTACACGGATATTTAGGTAATATGAGGATAATGTTGTAAAGTAAATTAGAGAAAGGAAATGTGTAAGGTAACGTGTAAGGAAATGTGTATTAGTAACTAGATAGGTATAAATAAGGGACGGGTAGATGTGTTTGGTTAAGGAATATAATTGTAAACGAAGATCCCTTTTTGGACTCCGAGTAGCTCTTTCTGGCTATGCAGACTGAAGGAATTGATACTGATACTTCTGAATCTGGTTGACACAACCAGATTTAGGTCAACCATGCTGTCTTTTCCGTGTATGAATTAGAGAGTTTATACGGGGAGAACAAAAAGTTTTATATTAATTTCAGCTAAGTTGTTTACACGGTGTCTTCAGGTGGAGCTTTTCGCGAGCAGTTCCGACCGAGTGCGCAGGAGGAGACGTATAATCGTCGAATAATAACGGGACGTGTGTCTTTATTTCGCTGAACGACGAATGTTCGTGACTCTGTGGACTCCGCGGAAAAGTTTTATGCAACATTCGGACGGGCGTGCGTCCGCGAGTTACTAACTACCGCTAAATACGAGTGCAACGAGTTTTTCGTGACTGCTAAGTCCCGGCGAAAATTTATGTTACTCCTCCGCGAAGCTCTGTCTTCTGCTCTCTCTCTCTCTCTCTCGGCCATACGTCACGTCATCGTGACGGCAAAATCGATGCGGCGGTACACATGGGTGTACGTATCAGCGAAAAATCTGGGCGGAATGGAGCTTTCGTTAGACGGGAACGTTAAGCGAGACGAGATAATGCGGGGAATCTGTGTCGACTTCCATCAGAGACAGAGATTCAACTTGGCCGGGAACAATTTCCTCCAACCGTTGGAGGTAGGACGAAAGATTCGCCGTTTTTTTTGACGGGGAAATAATTAATTGAAATAATTTTAGACGGTAATTTGAGAAATTACGATCTCAAATTCGTTATTCGGTCATTTATCTCAATTAAATTGATCATTCATCTGGAAAGACTATCGCGAGTGTAATTTGAGAAATAATTAAGAACAACTTGACCAACGTGGTAAATTAGTCTCATCAAAAGGAGACAACGCAACAATGAGCAGTAACATCAATCGAGCAATGAATCAAGCTCCTTCTCTTTCTATCTCTTACCTTTCTCATCCTGCGGCACGTCGGCGTTACTGAGACTCCTGGTGAACTGGTTCCTCTTGCCGTGCTCGTCGTGGCCATTGTCGGTGACCTGGTGTCTGGACGTCTTCTCGTACGAGCTCGACTGGCCGCCGTACTCGCTGCTTTCGGGCATGGACGAAGAGCGACGGTTCCGCGCGTCGTCGTCGCGACGATTCGCGGCGGCGGCAACGGCACCGACGTCGATGTCGAAAGCGGATTTTTTCCGAGATCGTCGCCGGGCGGACGCGGACGGCAGGAACGTGGACGCCACGTCGGCGACGTTGGCGAGCGGCGACGTTTTCGTGTTTTGTGGGTGTTGGTGATGATCGTCGGCCCGTGGGTGGTGGTAGTTTTTAGCGGTGTCGGAGGTAGCGGTTTGGGAATCAAAGAGACTCGAATTAGCGTTACCAGGGCGGGGTGCTCGGTTACGGGGCCTACGCGGATCGCACGGGCCAAATCCGCAGTTCTCGCTGCACTGGCTCTCGCTCTCCATCGAGTACTCGTAGTACTCGAGGGTGTCGCTGATTGCCACGTTCCTCTTACTACCCTGCTGCGGATGCTGCGGCTGATGCTGCGAGTGCGCTGTCTGCATTTGCTGGTGCTGCTGGTGCTGCTGCTGCTGCTGCTGCTGCTGCTGCTGCTGCTGACTCGACCGCCGCTGCTGTTGCTGTTGCTGCTGCTGCTGCTGCTGATGGTGTTGCTGCTGGTGCCGCTGCAGTTGCTGGCGCTGCCTCTTCTCGAGCATCTCGAGATCCCTAGCCTCCGGACAGCTGCTGTTCCGCCTACGATATCTATGCTTCGTCTCTACCAATGTCCGCCTGTCGTCACCCTTCCGCGACAGCGACCCCGACCTACCACCTAACTCGGAAGAGGACAGCGCTAGCTCGCGACACTCGGGGCAACTACTTTTACGTCTAGCGCGCGACGTCGCGTGTCGCGGCTCCCGCGAACAAGAGGAACGCTGTGACCCTGACCTAACTAGCTCGCGCGGCTCCGGACAAGTGCGGTCCTGATATCCCTCGTAATCGTATCTTGAGTCTAAGTAGCTACCACGATCTTGTTCCGCGTGAAAGAAGCCCGGTCTAACGGCGCCGTCGTTCGCTCTAGTCACCGTCACGTAGCCCGTCCGTCGAAAGTAATCGGCGCCGACTACCGTCTCCATGGAGCCGAACTCCTCGTCGGAGTCCAGCACGAAATGCGTCGTCGTCGTCGTCGTCGTTGTCGTCATCCTCTCGTCATCCCGTCGCGCCGTCGGGCCGTCGCGAATACGCAGATCTCTGCTCTCTGGGCAGCTACTGTTACGCCGGCGACGGTACACGCGTCTGCTGCGATCCGTGCTCAAGCTTAGCTCCTCGTCCGAGCGCAGCGCCGGCGTGGGCTCGGCTCGCTGCTGGGCGGCTATCGTCGTCGGCCTCTTGTCTTTCGCCGGCGAGCTCTCGTAGTCACCTGCGCTCCCCTCTCTACTGCCTCTCCTGCTCCTGCGTCTTCGTCTTCGCGCGGGAACCGAGCCGTCCTCGTACGTTTCCGCTTTGCCGGGGCTGCTGTGCGTGACACGGTAGTCGTAGTCCTCGGCCGGACGATAGCTGATGTAGTCGCCGGTAGTCGAGGTCACCTTCGGACCGTCGTCCGACTGTGCGTGACGCTTGCAACTCTGAACGGTCGAACGCTCCAGGTCGTCATGAAAGTACTCGCCCTCGTACATGGACGTGGCGCTCCTCAGAACCTCGATCCCCTCGTCGCGGTAGTCCTCGATCTTCTCCCGCTCCACGAATCCTTCGTCGTAGTCCGTGTTCCAGTCCTCGTAGTTCTTGTAGCCGTCCCCTTGGTAGATGGTCGCGCCGCCGTGAGAGCGCAGGACGCCGTTCACGTCCTTGGACATCCAGTCGTCGAGGTCGGCGCCGTCGTGGAGCCTCGTGGCGGACCTCGCGAGAATGCCGCGCTCGTAACTCTCACCGGACGACAGCGCGTCCTCGATGTAGACGCGGTCGTTGATCGAGTTGCGGAGCTCGCACTCCAGGCTCTTGGTGCGCTTCTCCGAGCCGAGGTCCCGATACGCGGAGTCCAGGTAGCTGCCGTCCGCGTATTTTCTCTTGCTGGTGTCCTCCTTGTCCAAGATGTTCCTGAGGCTGGCGCGGCGGTCGGCGCCGAAGAGACCACCTGAGCTGCTGTCGTCCGCTAAGCGCGAACCGTACGAGGGCTTGTTGCTGTAGTCGTCGGCTCCGTCGGCGATTCTCTCGACGACCGTCTCGATGCTCTGCTTGTCGTAGCTCGGCACGTAAATCTCCGTCTCGCCGCAGCTGAGCTCCGAGTCGTAGCCATAGAAGGCCGGCTTGTGATCCCGCTCGAGCAGGTAATCGTAACTCGTCTCTTTGCGCGTGAGACTCGTAGTAGGCACTTTGTCGTCGCCGTTCGAATCGTAGTAGGACTTGCTCTGATCGCCCAGCGCCGGTATCTTGTCGCCGTATCCGGCGTCGCTGAGAGAGAGATTCCGCTTGAGCTTTCTCCGGGCCGTCCTGAGACTGTCGTCGCTGAATATGTTGCTCGATATGCTCTCGTACTCGAAACTCTTGGCCCTGCGCGATAGCAGACCGACGGCCCCTGGCCTAGTACCGAAACGATCACCGTATGTATCGTGCATCACGTCGTAATCGAAGCTCCTAGCCTTAGCGGATAAGAGAGACCTACGCGGATGCAAACTAGCGTCTATACTCCTAATGTCGAGATGGTCAGGAATATCGAACGGACCCTTCGCGACAATCTCTCGCCCGATCGTCTTTGTCATCTTTCTCGTCGTCGTCGTTGTCGTTGTCGTCGTCGTCGTCGTCGTTGTCATCGTTATCGTCGTTGTCGTGGTCAGCATCGTCGTCGTCGTCGTCGTCGTCGTCGTCGTCGTCGTCGTCGTCGCGGAACGACGCGCGCGCGACCCCATGTCGTACCCCACGACACGGCGATACGGCGCCAAACAGCACGCGAAGCGCAACCTCCCCGCGTGACAACGACCATCGTTCAAGTCGACCTGGTGGCAGTCCACGGCGACGTGCGTCGCCGTAACACGACTCTTAGCGCTACCGGCGAGTCTCGCTGGCCTGTGTATGTACCCCTCGGAAACGCTGTACTCGCTGGTCTCGGGGCTGTAATATCTCAGCATGTTCTCGTCGACGGTCTGCGATCTCGTGAAGGGCGTACGCATCTTTTTGTACAACGAGCGTACCACTGCGGACTTGCTCCGTACGAGGGGATGCGGGGTGGGACACTTGCTGGGGTCGTTGCTTCTGGGCACGGCGGGATTGTTGTTGCACGGACAATGACATTCGCTGCGGGGTACCCTACATTTGTGCTTGCGCCTATTGCGCCTAAAGGATGAGGGTGTGGGGGATGTGACGGCGGGTATTAAAACGTTTTCAACTGACGGTCTGCAAACAATGTTGTTTTTTTCTCATTTATAGAGGGCTATTATTTGGCACTCTTTTGCGAAAACGGAACCATAGGGTGAGCCCATTCCGCTTCTTCGTTCTTTGTTTTCTGCATTTTTTTTCGGCAATTTCTTTTGACTTTTCTTTGGCGCGCTCGCGATCGATCAAACTCGCGTACTCATGTGTATGTGTGTGTGTGTATGCTCATGGTTGCCCATGAGCATCTTTCTTTGAGATTCTCGCCGAGAACAACGGGTCGGCATTTCGGAAGAGACACGCAGCGATCGATGTCTGCCTTCGCCATGCTCCGTTCTCTATGACACGGCGAGGCAAGACTCTACCTAACCGCGTACGACCGCGCACTAATCCCTGCTTTCTTAGAATGGGGCACTAATTAAATGGACATTGGCACACATACACAGAGCCACAGAGAGGGGACAGATAGATAGATAGATAGATAGATAGATAGAGGGAGAGAGAGATACGGTACGTAGGAAGTGCAATCTAAGCGCTAAACTCTCTTCGGCTCGGAGAAGACGATGGCGGGGGAAACGCTGGAGAAACGTTTGTCGCGCAAGCAGGAGGTAAAGAGTGCAACTACTGGGACATTCACGCAAGAGCCGACAATGTCCATTTAATCCAGGGATTATTCTTCGCTCGAGGGGTCGAGCCGGTCGAGTCGGCGGTGCTGTTCTCCGCATTGATCAATTTGCATAGCGAAGAAGATATTCGGATTTGCGAACGTACACGATTTGGTGCGCGTTCTATGACGGATTCAAAGCAGCGCGCTCGATGCTCGACCCCTGCCTAACGGGGGGAGGGGGACACTTTCTTGACTATGGAATCTGCGTTACTTTATGTACACCGACCTCGCGGCACAAGGTCGTCCGTACGATCAAGACAGCGTAATGATTGCGAGACTATACTCACATTAGCGCTCTCGATGCACGTGGTCGTTCCGATTGCGTACTGAAGGCACTGCTCGTTACCGAAGCTATGCTCTCCATGTCAGAATCCCCGAGATCACCGATTACGTCTTTGTCGGGACTCAAGTGTCCCCTTCGCTGTCTGTGCATCCTGTGAGCGTGGCTGTGCGGCAACGTTAGCGGATCGTGTCCGATCGAGGGGAGATCCGAGTCCGAGAGGCCGCTGTAATGCCTTTCCCAGCCTGCAAAAGCAAATCAATCGCTATCACTCTCGAGGCTCACGGGATCAGACTCATGAAAGAGCACACTGAGAAAACAAATACTTGAAACATTTATTTGCGAAATACAAGGTTCATTCACAGAAATAAACTTCATTTCACAGAAATCAATTTTCAAGTACTTTTTCTCAGCGCACAAGTTGTAATATTCCCTACATTCCGGTGGATTCGATAACTTAAATTCGAGGTGACTTGATGTAATTCGGATACTTTTCAAGTGTGATCGCGTGTGTTATTCGTAAGAAAAGCGACTCACCTCCCATACCTGTGCTCCTGTATATCGTGTGCACCGGCCTGTTGCGATGCCGCATTGCGAACCTCACTCGTTCCTCCAAGTCTTGCGCGACCCTCTCCTTCAGGGCTGCCGGGATTTGAGGTAGCTGACGTTTCTTCGGCGATCCAGTGGGAGTGGCGGTCGCTGATCTCGAGCCGAATCTGAATAAGTGCGGGGCCAATCGTGAGACCATCGTCGTCAACGTAGCAGGGAACGTCAAAAGTTCCCGGCGATATTTCATACCTCGTCGGATAAACGTATCCGTGCGAGTAGGGAATAGATCTATGCTCGGGCGGAGACAAGGAACGATGACCAGTGGGGCTCTGAGACCTTCCTCGGTACCGTACGCTCGGGGAGTCCATAGGTGCCGCGCTGTGAGACCTATGACCCATCATTCCCCGGTGGATGTCGTCCTGAGAACGGGATTTATTTAATAGCGTGTAAGGATACCGACGACGAACGTTACTTAATATCGCGCAAGAAGAACACCGATAAGTCTCGACGGAGTCGACCAAGTGTCACCGTAATTTCATCTTTCTTCACTCTTTTACCTCAGCGAATATTCTTCAGCAATGATCTCTATGTGGTCCTGATTGAAAAACTAAGAACAATTTTTAATTTCTTCTCTTCTTTAATTTTTTCTCTCTTTCAATGTCTTCTCTTCTTTTCTCTAATTTCTTCTTTCTAAATTGTTTGACTCTCTCTGCAGCTTTAAAACGCGCAGTTTTACGCAGCTTTATAATCGACGTATATTCTCGCGATTTCACTCAATGCTTCCGAACGGTCTTTGAGGACAAAGAAGTCAGCTTGGAGTTGGACGACAAGTACATCCCGCGAGAAACCGATCGGTGTTCTGATTTTGAATGTTTCATGTGCCGGAACGCCGTACCTTACGATATGTCTGGTAACCCGATATAGAGGCAGGTTGGTCGCGAGATATCATGAGGGCGGCCCTTTTACGTCCTTGAGGTGACATATCCCTCCGACTTCGGTGTTCACCGTCGACGCAGAGTTCCCTCTCCGGCGGCGGGCTAGAATAGTGGCTGCTCCAGCATGCGTTCATTTTTTTTCATCAATCAGCTGCGTGCCTTATAACTTAAATGAGGCGAGTGCTGTGATCTCGCGCTAATCTTAAAATGCATGCGGCCAGGATGGTAAAAGAATGATACGGACAAAGTACTCATGTTCGTGTGGCTTATATGCGTGACGTACATGTGTGTATGTGTATGTATGTGTGAAGAATACTATAAATGAGAACGCTACGTGGCACCGGTCGGAACGAAAGGTCGAGACGCAGAAACAAAACCTCGAACGAGACTTCCGTCGTGTGCAAACTCATTTTCCGAATTATCTCACGCTACTTGGCGCACAAAAGATTCTCTAGCGTGCGAGCCCGGAGCCGGCTCCTTAGATCGCAAAACTGCATAGTGCATGTCTCCTAATTTGGCGCGAAGCAGCTCCAAGTTATTCGGCAATGCAGTCAAGTCTGCTCGGCGTTTACACAGTGTGTTCTCGATTGCGAGACTCTTTCCGTTGCCAAAAATCGGGATGGCGAGCAGCGCGCGGAGCGAAAGAGCGCAGCGGGGAGTCGCCGTGAAGCCCCCTTTTGCAGGATATGCGACGTGAGTGCGTATGTACGAGCGTGCCAAGTCCGCGTGACGTGGAAATCGCGCACGCCGATGGCGTCGAGATCAGCGCGAGACGTACAACGTGTGAAAAATCATCCCTGCCCTGCCCTGCACGTATCGCCGTTTCTGGCAACGAAAAGCGACGTGCATGTGAGAAGGCGCTTCTCGAAAACTGGCTGGCGGCACCAAGTAATTGCAGTCAAAAGCTTCAAAGGGAGACTCAATCCACCCCGGCCGATGCATCGCGATGCATTAAGCATTCTAGAAGCCATGTCCCGTCGCATCTAAGACTCAACGTATATAATAATGCGTATATATACATGTATACATATGTATACAAGAAGCGATGACAGTATGACGTCTAAGGTGCCTACGTGGGTGACGACTCGCTAATTTATTTCCCCTTCTCTTTTTCCTTTTTTTTTTTCTTTTCATTCTGCACCTACTACTCGAGTCGCTCGGCTCGCTATCTCTTTTCGCGTCTCTTCGCGAGGAAATGACATTAACCAAAGGGACCAAACGACGCCAAACAACAGAGATCGCCCCGGGAATTTTGCTACGCGTCGAAGCAACGTGCGTTATCGTACGTCGCGGTGTATGATACATTGTCAATCGTACACGAAGTGGAAGGAAACGGAACGGGAGCTCTCTCTCTCTCTCTCTCTCTCTCTCTTTCTCTCTCGTCGCGAGAGTTGCATCTGACAGCCGTGTTACGGTATTTTTCGTCGCCGTAGTTACGCAATGCATTTCGTTTTCGCCGAGAAAACGACACTTCTTTTTCTTTCTGTATCTCTCCCTCTTTCTTTCTCGCTCTCTCTCCCTCTCTCTCTCTCTCTCTCTCTCTTTCTTCTCTTCTTGAAAGTATATTCTCATTAAACGAAGATTTCTCATGCTACCCCGTCGTTGCCGGTGTACACAAATCAAATTAGCGGTACGTGATCGCGTCAGTATGCGTCCCTTCGTCACAGTCTCCGTTACACCCCGGCACGGTAAACAACGCACACAACTAAACTGGCTGACTTCTACGCGCAACATCGTAATAATAATAATAACCCTAGCGGTGAGGATGCAAGACTGTGTGTGTGACTGCGTGAGATTCGTGAAGGAGGAGAAAATATATATTGTAATGGCCGTACCGCTTATAATTTGACGGCATATTATGAAACCTAAAAAATAAATAACAAAGCACACGATTAAAATCAAAAGCAATGGGAGCGGGCGCGGTCGCGGCCGACGCGTCATTGTCTAATCTCTCTTATCTCACCGATAGTCTATATATATATGTATACAGGGTGTCCGGCAATTCGTTGGGCAGCCGCGGTGTACGAGTAGAACTCGTCAAACTGGACGCGAAATTCCTCTGTCGTTTCGCGGACAACCACGTACAATCTTGAGTAATCAATCAAAGAGAAACTGAACAAAAAAGTCCTCCACCACTTCGCAAACAACGTAAAGTTATTAATTCAACAAGATTTGTGCGCGCGCATAGTCGTACGCCAATCTTCTTTACTCAATAACTACAAGTCTACGTGATTATTTACAAAATGATGCAGGACTTTTCTGTTCAGTTTGATCCAAGTTACGAGCACATGACGTCACCATCTGTCGCATCTCGTCGCGCAAGATCATGCACCGATCTTCTTTGACCAATAACTGATAATTTTACGTGGTTGTTTGCGAAATGATAGAGAAATCTTTCGTCCAGTTTGATGCGTTCGGCCTATGCAACGTGGCTGGTATAACGAATTGTCGGACATCTTCTACATACTTATATACTTTTTTTTTACGCGGGACACTCTACACATATAGGTGACTCGAGTTTCCACGATAGATCGCAAAACGCTGCGAGTCTGTAATATTTCAAATTGTCGCGGTGAAATCCAAACGCAATAGAAAGAAAATATCGCACAAATTGGACATGTAGATATAATATTTTTCTTTCGCGATTAATCCACGTACAAGTAATCTCGACTTGGAATATACACTTGTGTCGCCGGTAAAATGTAGCACATAGTGCCGGTATATAATTTTAATAAGAGCTCTCTCTCTCTCTCTCTCTCTCTCTCTCTCACTCTCTATCAAAACGCGTCATCCCCTCGCGCGTCGCGTCGTAACCGCGGACTCGCGCCGGCTCGGCGGCGGCGGATTTATTAATGTAATTGCCGGGGCGAAACCTTTCCGAATAATCTTATTAGGCGATATCGAGGATTGTTAAATTACGCGTGCAGGATGTCCGCCGTCCGCCAGAGCACGGCTGCGGGAACGTTTCAATTATTCGGAGCGGGGTTGTACGGAATGACGCGCGCGCCCGCGTTTAGGATCTTGCTTTGCGAGATCGAGAGGCTGTTCGGTATGAAAACAGGCGCCGAGGGATGTCGGGTGGTAGTATCTCTCGGCTTATCCTTCACCGTGGCGCTCGGTCCGCCGAGTTTTTCGCCGACTGACCGGGTTCGATTCGTCCCGTCCATCGGCTGCGACTTGTTCGCGAATCGTCAAGCGAGAAATTCACACGGGCAAGTGAGTATTCCGACTGAGAATTTATCCCGTGGCCCTGATCAGGTTGATCCCAATCAATTTTCCGAGTTTTAGTGTTATTGGATAGTGTTACTGATAAATCATGTAACGTAGCTAATTAGAACTCTGTCAACAATGAGTAATTACGGATTTTCTAGGTAAAATGAAACGATTATATTTTGTTATAATTTGAAGAAACAATGCATGTAAAGAAAAACAAAAAATCATAGAATAACGTAAGGGAGAATTGCCGAAATCGTGCAAAAATCATGATTTTTTAAAATGTTTGTAGAGCATAGGATAAAATATAATTTGAAAATTTATTGTTTATATTTTTAATTTCTTATTTATATTTATTGTTTATATTTATTAATTTATTATTTACATTTCTCATTGCTCATTTTTAAATCATTTTTACTTCTTTTTTATCATTAGATATCGTTTTTATATTCAATAATGAAGAAATTCGCGAGATGCGATTTAGGAGATCGATTCGGCGCGACTCTTCCTTGCTCCAGGAAATTACAACGACGCAAAAATATGATTATATTATTTTACATAAAGAAAATCCGAAATTGTTCATTACATAACTCAATAATTGAGACTCGATAATATCACTTTATACAAACCAGATAACTGATCGGGATCAACCTGAGCAGGACCACAGGATAAATTTCTAGTCGGGATGTTCGACGAAGGTGTAAGTCGCGACGAAAGTGCAATTCGTCGTCCACACGGCAACGCGTCGTCGTCGTCAAACGCGACTCCAGGACATTCACTCGTCGCGAATATCCGCGAATGACGAGTGCGCTACTCGACGTAACGTCTTCCGTAATGTATGCAAGCGACTCGGAAAGAATTAAAGCAAATCAAATAGATCGAGTAAACAATCATCCAACTCGTCCTGCCGACCGACATTGTCACGACACACACGCGACTTCACGTTAGCTTTGCGTTGTACCGCGGATATACACTTGGAATAATTTCGCTCAGTGACTTTGTTACTTTCTTCCTTTCCCTTTAATTGCCCTTAATCGGATGCGCACGTCATCCCTTCGGCTCGCGAGCGAGAAGGCGGAGGAGGCAGCTCGTGAAATTTAAGGAACATTCGGTACTCACGGATAACGAGCGTCCATCATCGTCGAGATATTAATAATATGAATACGAGTTTAAGACTGACTTCCGGAGTTAGCGATGGTTGCAGGCCAACTGCTTTGTCAATTGGCTTATTGCCCAGTTTTATAACTTGGCTCTTTCGCCCTCTCCCTCGTTCTTCCGATCGCCCCACCCCTCTTACCGTCGTCTCTTTTTTTTCTCCAAATTTCCGTTCGCGATCATTTATTTTACATAAGTATATTCATGCTCGTTCTCTCCCTCTTACCCGAGCTTGACCCGCTTTTCGATTCGCCCAAGAGGGGGAGGAAAGTCGCGCGCTCGCGCGCGCAATCGTCTCCGAATGAGTGGCGGGGAATCCGATCAGATTTCACGACGTGAGTTGCGGTTCGTGAAACGCGAACCACGGAGTCTTCCTCGCGAAAGTCAGGAGTCTACTCGAAATTGGCTCGTTGGCGCGAGGAAACTCACGGACGAGCCCTCGCGGGTGGAATCGTTCGCACGCCGCGCACCGGATCCTGGAGAAGCCGCGTCGTTTGCGTTATCGACGGTAAAGACCGCGGTAATGGGGATAACCGTTACACGACGCTGGTTACGACAGCGACTACGAGATCTGCAAACAGGATCTTGAACGACGACTCTGTCGGTTTAGTAGCATAGTTCCTGTCGACGGCCAAGTGTGTGTGTATGTGTGCGCGCAGCATACCGGTGTAGCCGTTCGCGGATAACTGCGGTATCGCTTCTCAGTAAAGTGCGAAGTTCGTCGCGATTAATCCGTGCGCGCGGGTGTCGTCTCCCGCCCCCGCTGGACTCATCCGCGCGATTTCAATCCGCGGTTCCCGCGTGACGATCCGCGCACGACCTTTGAATCGCGAAGTCGGGGATCAAGCTGACTGGCGGATTTAATCGAAATGAAAGTGCTGAAGGCGGGTAAGAGAGCCAACGCTGTTGTTCGAGCGATACATTGTATCAGTACTCTCCAAAGTACAATCAGTTGTACACTTCGCTGAAATGCTACTCTTGTAACTGGCGGTGCAGTCACAAGTGTAGCACTGCAATCAGTATAGTCTCGCTGAAAGAATCAGCAGCGACTGTCCCTGTTATCGATGCAATTTGCGAACAGACAGCGCGTGGAGTCGCACGGAAACCGCGTTTAATTTCACGCAGAAAGTTGAATTTGGCGCAACGCACGACAGATTGGTGTGCTACATAGGTTTTGCAGCGGAATCTTGCTTCCACCGGCTGAGATCATTCGGATATAAGATGAGGCGGTTAAATGGGATCGTCCCACACTGAAAATCTCCGCGAATATTCGCTGATTATCGCGGCGAAATGCTACTTTTGCTGATTCAATCGGAAACATTATCACTGATTCACTTTAAGACAGTAAGGAAAAGAGACGGCGCTTTCACACTCGATAAATAACGAACGTTTCGGTCCCAATTGCTCGGATCTTTCTCTCTTTCTGTTTTCGGCGGCGTCACTATACCGAAATCTGCACGGACTGTTATCGGGATTTCGAAAAGACGGTCTCTTACCTCGAGGAACTGCCGATACTACTTATGCTGGCACCGTCGGCCGTTCTCCTTTGTTCCCTCGACACGTCGCAGTCCGTGATGTCGCACTCTGAAGTGTCAGAGTCGCTTAATCTCGAGGTGGTCGACGGTGGACTAAGGTGACAATCTATCATGTCGTCGGGATCCTGATAATGCCTGCGGAGCAAGTAAGTAAGCGTTAACGCGCTACGTGGATTAAAACGCGAGGAGATCGCTCGAAGCCGCGTTTAAGCCTGAAAGTCGATCAAATATTTGTACGACGCGCGATATTAATCGTTAAGGTAAAAGCACCGGCACACCAGCACCTAACTCATTCGTTTTTTTGGTCTTCACGAATATTTAAATTTGTTTATACGAATTTGTAAATTTTCTAGATGTAGAATATGTATATATCGAATACGTACCTATGTTCTGCGTTCTGAAAGTTTGAATGCTCGTATTTAGAGACCAAAACAACAAGGATTTTTACGAACCAGGTGCCGGTGTTATCAGCGTTTAGGCATTGGCATTTTTACCTCGCGTGTGTTCAATTAGGTGTATGTGCGCGCCGATACTTTAATACACACCCACGCGTCCGATTGAATTCGTAAGGACGACGTGTGAGAGACAAATTCGGCGGACGTAATGTGTGCGAAACATTGTCGAGCGTTCCGCAAGAAATTCGTATCGACGCGAGGTATTTATTTGATCGCTTTTAGTATTGGCATCGGAACTACCAGTATTCGCGAGGGCGATTCATACCCGACATACCGGTGCTCCCCGTGAGCGGTCAGGGCATGCCATTCTGGTTCCTCGTATAAAGGACATACTGCCAATTCCAGGACAGTCTCGCCGAGGAAATCGTTCGCCTCGTACCTCGCGTAGTCCCAGACCGTAATCTCTAATGCTCTTTTCCGCAGTTCCGTACGCCTGATTCCATTGTAAACGAAAGTCTGATTCCATCTGGGATCGTTTGTATTCGCCACGGTCTTCGTGCGCCGTTTCGACTTCTCACTACGGTGTTAAAACATTCACATGGACACGTGAGTCTCACCGGGGTTCCCTCCTCTCGTTTTTCTTTAGTTTCTTTTTCTTTACATTTTTTTCTCGTTTTTTTTCTTTTTCGCAGAAAAAAACGACGTTTCTACGGACGTGCAGCGGTGCGTGAAATTATTACGTGCGCTCGTGCAGATACGTTAAATTTATACAACACGACGGAATATTGTATCGCAGAGCTGTTCTTTACATACACACACGCACGCACACACATACACGCGTACAGCTGAACGTTACATCTGAGACACGAGAGAAGAAAAGAATTCCGATCTATCGATCCGTAAAGTTCGCGCGTGTATCTTTCTCGCGAGGTTTTTCCATAACGAGTCGAATAAAAACGCACACTTTATTTCTCGATCAATAATCGTTCTCTCTCTCTCTCTCTCTCTCTCTCTCTCTCTCTCTCTCTCTCTCT